CCAAACTGTGTGCAGTTTGTCCTGTGGGTGGCAGTAATGGGAAAAAAAAGTAAAACATCACCAGCTGCTAAATTCAAATCTGCATTCGCTGACTGGCGCAGAGCCAGAGACAGACGCGTTTTTTACAGCGCTCCGCATTAAAACCAATCACACACGATTCTGTTGAGCTTATAAATGCAATAACTAATCAGAGGCGTTCTGATGAGTCATCGCTGAAAGTTTTGTTCAGTGTGCGTTCGCCGACTAAATTCTGCTCTCTGGCGAATTCTCTTATCAGAAACAACAAAGTGCAGATGTGCGTACGAATGTAAGTAAGATACTCATTTCACAGTGTAAACCGCTTCAGTGATTTTAATGTGTTTTAATTTTAATTTTTTTTAAGCGATTTAACTCTGGCTAGACTGAAGTCAGTAGCTATGTTTCCATCCAAAGATGTGAATTTAACTTATGCGCAAAACTGGAATATTGCATAAAACATTCTCGAGTAAAGCACCGTTTCCATCCAACGAGTCAAAGAAAACAAAATCGTCACTTCCTGATAAACTGGCACTAAATATCTCTAAGAAAACTAGGAGAAGCCACTGAATATAATAATTTTCAGATGTTAGAGGTGGATGCCTTCTGTTTTCGGAACACAGTCATGTAAGACAGTAATTATACAGAACAGAGGTGGACTTAACCATTAGGCAACGGTAGGCGACCGCCTTGGGCCCCCAAAAGCCAAGGGCCCCCTAAAATGCTTTTTATATGCGAGATGCGCATTCAGTGCGGACACGCAAGTGGTTGATGTGGTGTTCATTACAACGACAACCGACTGTGCATCTGCGTTGAACACGCTTCTTAGCAAAATTAGGGACCTATGATTTCCGCGATGTAGAAAACATCGGTAGGACGGAATCCCGGAATCCATTCATAAAAACGGACCCAAATTCTGCACTTTCCATTTAAATTTTTCTGTATTCCATTTTAATGTAACGAGCAATGTCACGGAATATACGGCGCAGACACGCGTTTCGTTTGCTAGTTTGCTATTGAAGCACGCGCTATGCTCACGGTTGTCGTCTGTAGTAGCTAAATACTGTTTTTGCCATTTAATATTCACATACACTAGTCCATATCGCGGTTTAATTGAAGTGTGCTGAATTGCATTTGATTTATTTATTTAATATTTGACGATTTCTTTGGCATTGCTCGTTACACAGTAAACTTCTGTTGTGTAGCACTTTGAATGTACATAAATAAAAGGGTTTGATTAATTTTCATTGGAATAAAAGATAAATTAATGTTTTTGCCTTCATTTGATTACCTGAAAAATGAAAATACACAACACAGAATTTCTAAAAAATCAGTAAATAAAATAAACATTTCATAGGGCCCTATTATTGTATACAAATTAATAAATTAAGTTGTTTTTATGAATTCAATTAATATGTTTTTGATTAAACCATTAAAATGGAATACAAAATGTTTTTAATAGAAAGCGCAGAATTTGGGCCTTAAGAATGTCATTTTTGTTCAACTTTTAATAGGCCTAAATTGCTGTTCAATTAAACAAGTTTCATGATTTTAATTAATTAGACATGGTTTTTGTTACAATTTAATATAATCATCCAGAAAAAATAATACGGGGGAAAAAAAAACTGAATCCAGAAAAATTCAAACGCAAAAAAAAGATTTTGGAAAAAATAAAACTTTGGCTAATTTGGGAAAAATAAAACTGATTTCATAGGGCCCTACAAATATCATGCATCTGAAGCTATAATGTAATACTAAGCAACAGTGCATATTATATAGGGCCTATTTACATTTTTTTAAATGGCGCTAATTTGTTTTTGTGAAGGACCCAAGAAGGACCAAGCACAGTCACTTTCCACACAGGCACACTTCACATTTGGTTGAAATAATCCTTAAGCGTGTAAATGTATAATTTCCTTCAGTTGAATTCAAATGTGTAATTAAAATAAATAAAAAATAAATGTATATTTTAAAGTTTAGAATTAGCCTTGCGTTGTGTAGACAATTGCATAGTAAAAAATTACCCCAAAGCACCCCCTAGTGTCCAACCTACTCCACTACTATTATAACCTGTTTAAATGTGAACAAGGCATCTACAACATTAAGGAAATCCTTTATTTATAACATGTACATGAAAAATCTAAAAGATTGGACACAGCTATGGGACACGGTCGTGCAGCAGCGAGCATCAAAACAGGGAAAGGAACCTCAAGGTTGTAAATGTGTGAAATTGTATAGGGCCCCATTCCTGTATTTTGCCTGGGGCCCCAAAATCACTAAATCCACCCCTGATACAGAAATACTTTGATGACAGACTTTCCTCAGGCATTTCAGAACGACCAAAACAACATATAGATGCTGTGAACGAGATCGGTCCGCTGGTTAGTCAAGTTTTCTCGTCTCATAGCGCAAAGTCACATGACTTTTTCAATGCACATGGTGGAATTTATTTGGTAAATGTGTTTCCATCGTAGTTTATGCGCATTTTTTATGCAACTTTTTAAAAAAGTTTATTCTACTCATTTGTGCGCATACATTTTTGTATGCACATTTTTAGAATTTTTGCGCATCTTGATGTTTCCATCCAGCGTTTTTTTATGCGATCATCCAAAATGCACATACAAATAAGTGGTTGGAAGCGTAGCTAGTGATAATGTTTTTTTGATAGGCTAATGTAAATGTTCTTTGTTCTCTTTCTGTACAATGAAAGTGTTATAATTAGTAACTTACAATGTTTTTATTAAATTCACATTAAATACAAAGTCAGTCGTATTAAAATTATTTTATGGCATGACACCCATATCTGGTACTTAAGTAAAAAGACGGGTTTATGCGTAGTTAATAGATTACACTATTAGGCTACTTTGCCCATCGCCTATTATAGCTCAACTAAGATAATCTATAAAGATGCAAAATGCATTTACTTACACATATTTGAGAAATTAGAAATTTTATGACATAGTTAACACGTTTGGGAATATTTCGAATAAAAAGGACAAAATAAATAAAACAAGCCTATATCAGTTATAAAGTGCTATTGTGGCTGCTGTGTGTCACGTGACGAGGCTAGTAAAGTTATACTAAATTAAACCTGCTTTAATAGTTGTCGGTGTGTTTTAGCTGCAGTCCACTCTGGGGTTGAGTCCGGTCTCTGATGTTAAACTGTCCTGGACGAGTCTCCCCTACCGTGAAGTAACACACGAGGAGAAAACAACAAGGTAGGAGCATTAATCTATAATAACTGCATTAGGGTGCAGTTAATCAAATGAATCATGATCAATCTCACTTCCACTGAAGCTCAACAGGCTCTTTAGAACCTGCTGGAGAATATGATTATCACAATATTTATGTTTTATTCACAGGACTTGTGCTGATAAACGTTAATCTGGAACCACACACTGAATCTTTCAAGCAGATGTTTATTTATTGTTCATTTTTATAATTCATTGATCTCTGTAATTGTTTCAGCTGCTGACATATTCATATTCATCTTGCTTCATAAAATTGGTTTGAAATATTCTGTATAAATATGCATAATACTTAACTGAATGTATCAGTGTACATACAGTATGTGTATTATAGTTTAATTTGATCAAGGAACACATGCTCATTTCATCAATATAGCAGTTTATCTGAAGGACAATTAAAATGACTCTCATTCACCGATAACTACTGACAATATAAGTATATTTATTTTACTCAGATTGTGTATCAGTTAATTTATTACAATACAATTTTAATTAAAGCAATAAGCTACTTAAAGCCCTGTGTTAAAGTGATGCTGCAGTGTGTTGTGTGATGTTCAAGAATGAATTAACTTTATGTATATTTATCCAGAACAAATAAAATGTGACCTTGATTGTCTGAGTCGCCTTGTTTAAACCCTGAACACACAATATATGAATGTTACTGTGTTGACTATTAAAAAGACTTTACTAAAAGACTTTCTTTCTCTCTATACTAAACTTTAAACATTTAACTACTATGTGTATAATAGAAAGTTATAGTTGAGAAGACATCATGTGCTATTTATGAAGTAAATGACAAATGCCTGATCCAAGTGGTATATTAAGCTAAAACAAGAGTGAAGATCTTACTACTGCCAGAAATATATATAATGAAAACACACCAAATAATGTTTCATTTACATCGTTTAAGCACTATTTAACCCTCTGATGCATGATGTCCACTACAATGGACAGGTCTTTAACAGCTATGTGTTATGATGCTACATCACTACACAAAATTCTATATCACTGTCCTCTTGTTTTAGCATTATTTTCTTTATGACAGCATCAAAATCTAATTGGCTGATGAAAGTGGTGATGCATCAAGTACCACTGAAATAATTGCTGCTATTTTTTGTTTCAATACAGGCATGTGTCTTTCAAAATACATCATTTTGAGGGAATTTAGGTGGAAAAAATAATAATAATATTTTATATATATTTTATTTTTCCCCTATAACAAACTGCATGATTTTGGGAAGAACAAACTTAAGGTTTTTATTTATTTATTTATTTATTGTATCTTTTTATTAAAAATAAACCTTTCCTTTTCCTTCATTATAATCCATGTATCAGAGGGTTAAAAAACAGCATGTTTAGTCTGGCATCTTGCAGTAACTTTATAATGAATATAATATAATATAATGAAAATGACACTCATGGCTGTTACTCCTCAGAGAAGCTCCAGAGATCTGCTTCAGCAGGCATCTGGAAATGAAAATCACAGAGCTCATCAAGAAAATCCTCATCATTAACCACATCACTGAGGGATTTTACAGAGTAGATTCACTCTAGATCGCTGGTTTTAGAAACAGACTCACCTTTTTCATGTTGATTATGGATCACTGCTTCTTCAGGAGTTCGAGACCAGCTCAGAGTCACATTAGTGATTCCTCTCAGAACCAGTGCTGACTTCAACTGCAATGAACGATTCATTAGTATTATAGCGAGGCATCAGGCTGCGATAAGAGACAAACATCACGTTCTCACCTCTTTAAGCACGCTGTCCGTTACTGTCGGGTCGGTCAGATTAGCAGTGGAGTTAAACACTATCTTCATAAACGAGCGTCTAAAATATTCTAGGAGACACAATTCACTTTGAAAATGAAAAAGTCATAGGCCTAACTAGGGTAAAAGTAAACTAAAACACATTTGCATGTCCCAAAAACAAACTAAAAAGATGGCCACAAATTAATTTTAGTTTTAGACACGAGTTTTATTATGGAACTTCTGCCTACATTAAACAGGAAAAAGCCACTAGATTAGCAATAATATATTTAAAGCTGGTAAACCTTTGATCAGTGACAGGGGTGTCATGCACTCATTATTTTTGAGGGGGCACGAGTTGGGGGGGGGTCATCATGTGACACACAGCAGCCACAACAGCACTTATGTTTTATTTTATTTTTTCCTTTTTATTCGAAACATCCTCAAACGGATTAACTATATCATTAAATACATCAATCTAGTGGGCGATGGTCAAAGTAACCTAATAATGTAATCTATTAACTATGCATAAAATCCTTTCTGTTTACTTAATTAACAGATATGGATGTCATGCCATGACATATTTTTAATACAACTGAGTTTATTTAATGTGAATTTAGCATTGAAAGTTAATGTGGGTAAAAGCATTGCAAGTTAGGCTACTAATCATAACACTTTCATTGTACAGACAGAGAGCAAAGAACATTTAGATTATCAAAGAACATTTTCACTGACAATCTAGTAGTTCAAGCAATCTCAAAAAAACTGTATTAAATATAGAAAATATTAATCGGCTATTTTTTGTCTTTTGGAAGCTGCATTCAAAATCCACTTGGCTCAAAAATCGAAGGGGGCACGTGCCCCTCACTTTGAATGGGCATGACGCCTCTGATCAGTGATACCAGTTAATACATCAGCTTTGGAAACTCTAAAAATAGCCTACTTCAGCAGAAAATTGAATTGACTTTTAAAACTAAAACAACGATACAGTGAAAACTATATTTAAAATGTAGTTTTCGCCATTTTTATGTGTCTACAAAAGTGTCTAAGCATCTAAAAAATGAACTGAAGAATGGTTTGCTGGAGTTTGATCACCTGTCTCGTATACTTCCACCTCACAAACCAAGAGGGCCTTGAAATCCACGAAAAGGTATCCACGAGAGAAAACGTTTATGTACCGTCCCTCCCGATCTGAGCAGGAGTAGGTGACGCTGTGGGCTTCTGAATCACTGGAGATCACGGCACAGCTACATGATGACACACACACACAAACACACACACACACACACAGCCTTTTACTTTATTTACAATCAACAAATAAATATATTAAATTACATAGGCGCTTTTACAGAAAATGGGAGATTATCAAGAATATCAATGATATCCTTGATGAGACCAGTGTTGGGTAAGTTACTCTAAAAAAGTAATTAAATACTAGCTACTAATTACATCTAGTGTAATTCAATTACTGTACTAATTACTCTGTAAAAAGTAGTGCATTACATATTATTATTACTAATTAAGCTACTTTCTAAATCCCATACTAAACTCAGTTGAACAACACAGACATGAAACTATTCTTTTAATTCTTTCAAATAAATAAATTGTTCTTGAACTGACCAAAAGTATTTAAAGAGAGAAGGTTAAATTAAAAACATGCAGTACATGTTTTATTCTTCTACAGTATTTAATGCAATTGCATCAGAAGTAACTGTAATTAGATTACTGAAAAAGAAGAGCTTTTTCAAGTGAAAAGTAATGAAATTACACTAATTAATTACTTAGTAATGCATTGCACCCAACACTGGAAAATCTTTCACAATCAGTTGAAATTTGCACACAAACGTAAAATCACATCAATAAAACAATATTGCTTAAATGTAGCGTAAAAATCATAATAAAATTACAATTTATTTTACACAATCAGATGCCACTATTATTAAATTTGAAAACATTATAAAGTTCACTTACAAAATCTTACCAGACGTGCAAATTTGATTCTCATAATATGCATTCAATTATTCTTTTGTGACCTGGTTCCATTTTGGTTTTAGAGCTCAAAGCGGCGATGAACTTGTCCTCTCTGTGGCTAATCTAATGTAATCAGTTACTAACTAAACAAGCTTACCTGAGAAATATGCTCACGCTGAGGTGCCTCACCTGGGATTGGCGTTTCCTTCGTCCTGCAGAGAGTTGCCGAAGCGAATCTGAAAGTCTTTCCTATTATTTGGACAGCAGTCTTCTCTGTAGGTGACGACCACGATACTCACTCGATACGCAGCCTGAAGATCCAGCCTCCACCACGGTCTGGCCTCAACATTGGTTGCCGCACAAGAAGCAGAAAGCACAGAGATATCCTTCCCATCATCGATGGCGCGGTCCGCGGACCACTGAGCACCAGCTGTTGTCGACTGTGCAGCAGTTCCTCTTCCTGACAGATTTTCTAGAAAAGGCAAATAGACATATGCTTGAAGTGGCTCTTTTCACTGCATTTAATTTCCATTTAAAATTAGCTTTACATTCCAGTGGAAAAGATGCGTGTGCACCTGTTTAAGGTCCCTACAGGTTTTGGCAAAATCATGATTTTGCAATGTCGTGTTTTCTGCGATCGTGCATATTTCGCCATTTTAACACATAAGTTGCAGTTTTTCTGATAAATAGATGGAAAAAAGAGCGGTCAGTACTGCTCAAATTTATTGACATGCATGCAAGAAGCATGCCTGAATGAGAGAAGAAGGTGTGGACAGTGCTTGTGCTTAATGTAAAAAAAAAAAAAGAATTAGCGCAAAATCCACCGTAAAAGGATGTGTTTGTAATTTGCTTCTATGGTCTTAATTTTATAACAAAAAGAAGCATATGTTGCATAAAAAGTATGTGTAAAAATTTAGTAAGACACAATAATCAAGCTGTCTGCGTGTTTTTTTTCTTTCTGTCACGTATGACTGTTGTACATCTAAAGTCATACAATATTGTAAACGTGTGATCCTAGCTATTAAAAAAATCGCAAAATTCGGGAAAAAGAAAAAAAAAACATTGTGAATTCTTGGTGGGACTATAATTTTGTAATTAAATCTGACAAAACAATTTGGGGACATGGGCACGTCCTCATTTATAAAAATGATATATAGCTTAAATGAATTACATACATTGTTATTTTCGTTGTCAAAACAGAAAGGTTATTTAGTTAACTGTTGCTAAGTAGTCTAAATGTATAATGTGTGTGCGTGCATGTGAAAATAAATAAATAGACAAATAATAAACAGGTGCATCAAAAAGTCGCTCTACCTTTAGCGCCCTCTGCCTGCTCCTGAACAGAAAACAGCCCTGTCCAAAAGATATTTAATGAGATCAATATAAGAAACAAACATATGTTAAAGGCAAATAAGCATCCAAATTATGTTGCATTTGTTTTGTAAAGCAGACAATGCCAGATTCATGTGATTGATTTATGCAAACGGTGATTTCCCTATTTATAAAAAGGCATGAGCAAGGGGGCAAAGATAAATGTGTTTATAAAAATGACTGAATGAGTTTATTTGAACTATATAGTATATCAACTTTAATATGTTCAGCAAAATCATACAAATCCGATGATTTGAATTGCATTGTTTTGACTTCAGTAATGAAAGTCATATTTACCAAATAATAACAGCCAGCACTTGATGATTCCCATCATCTCACAGAGAAGCCCTTATCAAATATTCCTCTGTAATGTTGGGGGAAAACAAAGATATGAAATACGACAGAGATTATGACAAATAAAGTGACAGTCTTTTAATGTCAGGGAGAGGAACACTGCTGTAAAATCTCAGTCTCCTGACAGCTTCAGTAATGACTGAGGGCCATTTGTTAGTGTTTTACATGTCAGTTAGGTCACAAGATCATAGATTTTCATTTTAAACTCATTAAAAACATGGATTCAAAACATTGCTCTGTATTGACATTTTAGAGCAGTTTATTTATTGATTTTTGCATTAAATTTAATGTTAATTTATTAAAATTAAAAAATTTGTAAATGCATTATTACTAGACTTTTATTAAGGAATGCATTTTTTATTTTATGGTTTTGACACTATGTTTTGTAATCAATAACTGTCGCCACAAATTGCATATTGACATATTTATTTTGTAATAAAGTAACTGCACTGACCTGTCCTGTTGAGTGAAGTCCCACAATCTGGATCAGCAGCTTCTGTCAGCACGAGGATGAAGTGATTTTACGGTCAGTTTGAAATCTGACTATGAATCCCGAAGATTTTCTTATGTTTGTCTCACTGTGTGACGTCACACACGGAAAATGTGGGCTGGGAGTCGGAATGAGAGCCTTTGCATCTGTGTAACGTTACCTGGCTGTTTGTACTTAAAATCATGCATTTCAACGCAAGATAAAGTAATGAGCAGTTGAATTAGAAACTAGGAAAGCAAGAACAGCTTCAGTAATGACGGGGTTTGATGACCGATTGATGGACTTGAATTTTCTCTAATCATTCAGTGCTTTTGTGTTGAATCTGTTAAACTTAGGACGTCTGGAAAAAAAAACTTTAGGTGGAATTAAACTACTTTCAATTATTAAGTAAATAAATTACATTACATTATGAATATTTCTGACATGAAAAGCACACAAAACCCTATAAATTATGTTACATTTACATTATTTAAGCACTATTTAACCATCTGATGCATGATGCATTTTTTAAGCACATTGAGCATCTTTTCCATTTTATTTTCATTCACAATCCGTTGTATTTATTTATTTAGTTAGACAAAATTCAATCTTAAAACTTGAGCATTTTTTCCTTTTCTTTTTCTTTATGATTATTCATGTATCAGAGAGTCAATAAAAACAGCATGTTTGCAGTGACTATGAGATAAATATAATGAATATAATATAATGCAATTAAACTCATGATAGCTGTTGCTCCACACAGAAGCACCAGAATCTGAGATCTGCTTCAGCAGGCATCTAGAAATGAAAATCACAGAGCTTTTACATTGTTTCTGGATTTTACTGTGTTTCTCCTTCACGTTAGATCGCTGGTTTTAGGAACAGACTCACCTTTTTCACGTTGATTATGGATCACTGCTTCTTCAGGAGTTCGAGACCAGCTCAGAGTCACATTAGTGATTCCTCTCAGAGCCAGCGCTGACTTCAACTGCAATGAACGATTCATTAGTATTATAGCGAGGCATCAGGCTGCGATAAGAGACAAACATCACGTTCTCACCTCTTTAAGCACGCTGTCCGTTACTGTCGGGTCGGTCAGATTAGCAGTGGAGTTAAAAGCTAACTTCATAAATGATGGTCTGGAAGAATCTAGGAAACACAATCATTCTATTCACTGTGTTATTATCGTTTACAAAAAATAAACTGAAAATTATAGCTATTTAGATTAAATTAAATAGAAACTAACATAACTGGGAAACATTTTAACTAAACTAAAACAAATGTACATGTCTCAAAGCAAACAAAAATGTCCATACATTAATTCTTTAAATCAATAAGTTTTAGACTTGTGCTACATTATAAAACTTGAACGTTTGCAACCTGCCTAAATAATAATAATACACTGATAGCACATGTACATCACTGAGACGTCTATTTGATGTCTGCATTTACATCTGCAAGACCTATTTTTTAAAGTGTTTGCTCATCTGCAATCCGTCTATAGGACGTTTCCTATCAGATGTCAAATAGACGTTTAGAAGATGTCTTTAAGATGTTTATGATTTAGAGTGTATGTAAAACTCACATCTTAGAGACATGTGACAGATCTTGTACACAGCAGATGCTTTCCAGATGAAGAGATCTTTAACAGACATATTGCAGACGTGCCGGTCCTATCTAAGCAATAATAATGACACCAGTTACCCTGATAGCACACCTATATCACGGAGACGTCTATTCGACGTCTGCATTTACATCTGCAAGACGTATTTTTTAGAGTGTTTGCTCCTCTGCAATACCTATCAGATGTCAAAAAGACTATTCGAAGATGTCTTTAAGATGTTTATGATTTAGAATGCATGTAAAACTGACGTCTGAAAGATGTTTGCACACAGCAGATGCTTTCCAGATGAAGCGATATTTAACAGACATCTTGCAGATGTACATGTGCTATCTGGGTAATACATTAACATTAACTCTGTAAATACTAAAATAATACAACTAAGGCTAAATAAACAAAGATAAAATCAAAACTATAGCAATTTCCATCTTTTTTTTTATTAAAAATGTAGTCATTAATTGGTTTTATTTGTCTACAATGTCAAGCATCTAAAGCCAGGTATTCTAAAATGCATAACGTGAAAAACTCTTAGGTGGTTTAATGTACTAAAGCAACAACCAGTTTAAAAAAAACATCTCTCACATTTCTTTTGTCATAAACACTATCTACTTGACAATGGCACCATAATCCAAGTGGAAAGACAATCATTTTACATGAAGTGTTTTCCCCAATAGAAAACCATTACACGCTTAAAGTTACATAATGCACTAAAACTGTGATAATAAAAGACTAAACTCAGTATACACAATACCGTTTTTATAAACTTTATACAGACAAGCAGATGTGGCCAGAACATAAACGCAACATGCTGAATTGTAGCCTACGTTAAGCGTAATGAATCCACTTAACGTGCAATTAAGCGCGTTGCATTCATATTTTGGCTACACCTGCTTGACTTTATATAGTTTGTAAGATTAGTTAGATGTCATGTTAGATGTATACTGAGTTTGGTCTATTAATATTCCTGTCTTCATGCATTAATCGTTTAAATCGTAAAAAAACATTGGGAGAAACCAGGCTCAGTCGGGGGGCCAGTTCTCCTCTGACCAGACGAAACCAGCAGTTAAATTCCAGGCTGCAGCAAAGTCACATTGTGCAGAGGACTCATCTGGTTCCTGTGGTCTTGTCCCGGTGAACAACATAAAACAGATGATGAACACTATTAACAACAATTATTATATGATG